GAGAGAGGGAGAAGAGAGAGATCTGTCTGATGATAATGGACGCGCGGCCAAGCGGCGATTCGAACGGACAGATAAGCGGGCAGCTGGCCCGATAATGGGCGGGTGGCCAGTCGATGAGCTGCACGAACGGACCAGCATGCAAAGGTCAGTCGGAGAGTGGACGGAGGGACAGATAGACAGACAGCCAGGCAGGCGGGCAGGCAGGCGAGGGGGACAGGCAGGCGGGCAGGCAGGCGGGCAGGCAGACGGGCAGACGGGCCGGCGAGGGGGAACAGGCAGGCGGGCATGCTGGCAGGCGAGGGGGGACAGGCAGGCGGGCAGGCAGGCGAGGGGGACAGGCAGGCGGGCAGGCAGGCGGGCAGACGGGCCGGCGGACGGGTGGGCGGCCGGGGCGACGAGTTGGCTCGGCCTCGATTGGACTGCGTGTCGCGCATAAGTTGGGACGGCCGTGTAACGGCAGGACAGACAGATTGACGTCAGGCTGACCGCACCGGCGGGGCGTGTCTCGGCCGGCGGAGCGGCCCTGGACACGGACGCAAGGCCGCCCGTCTGGCGTCGCCCGCCCCGCGGACTCCGGACCCGCCGCGGAGCCCCGCACCACGGACACCTGGCCACGGCGCACGGGCACCAGACCCCAGACACGGTACCCTAGATATCGTGCCCTGGACACGGGACCCCAGGCACGGGACCCAGACACGAGACCCATGCACGGGACCCCAGACACGGGACCCCAGGCACGGGATCCAAGGCACGGCACACGGACGCGGGAACCTGGACATTGGACGCCAGACATAGAGCCGTGGCCGGGTGCGGGAGCCGACCTAAGGCGCAGACGCTGGACCCTGCAGCAGGGCAGCAGCGCCGGTGCTGCTCCGTGCAGCAGCCTCTGCAGCAGTAGGCTGTCGACGAGCCAGTGGTGCAGACGCTGGACGCGCAGCCACGTCACGTGATCGGAAGGCATGCGACGGTCTGTTTTAATGGGCTTTTGATTGCATCAGTCCATTGCCTTTGACGTTTTGTTGGCGACTACGGCCGCTTTATTAGTTTCATTATCGCAGCGTAAGCAGAAAGCGCCCTGTGACGGACGACGATCAGACACGTTGCGGCGCTGGAGCTGGTAGCCAGCAGTGGCTGAGCTGGCCTCTGGCCGGTGAGGCTGGTATGCAATCGTGAGGTCACGGGTCACCTGAGCGGCCGCTAATCTCCGCCGCGGCGCCCGCAGCCTGGCCGCCGCGGCGGTCGGCCCAGTAGCGCCGCCGTACACAGGTCCGCACACCTATCCGCACTGATGGCACCGCCGAGCGATCAGGGACAGCTGATCGGGCTGGGATCGGCTGGGCGGGCGGCTGCACAGGGCGGGCCGCGCCGGCCGGTCCCGACGGCCACACGGCGAGCAGAGATTCCCAGGCGGCGACGGCCGGCTGGCCAGAGCGATGGCGGACCCTGTAGACGACGGCCGGCTGGGTCTAGACTGTCGGGGAGAGTGATTGGGAAGGCTATTCTCTGACTCCTGCCAACTGGAGAATTTTGCGCAGCGTGAGATGTCGGGCGGACAAAAATTATTTACACACAAAAGCTAGGCCCCTCAGCGTTTTAGGCTGGCTCACCGGACGGGTCCGGCATTGGAACTAAGAAAGGTGAAGTCCGTTTTGGGGTAAATTGGAAGTGTGTCGCCAATTTGACCAATTCAAGAAACACAGCACAACTGTAGGTGTTTCGCAGGGGCTTGGCAGGGACCGTGACGTGGCTGTGCTTCCCTTCGGGATTGGCCTTGCTGGCTACTTTGGCAAAGAAAACATCGTAAAACAACATGCTGTGAAGACTGAGTCGTGCTTACGCTGTCTGTTCGAGGTCATCAGGTCTGCTTACAATCGAGACCAGGATGTGAGTGCGGTTATTGTCGTGTCAGAGTCGGCGGCCGCTGCCTTGCCTTGGCGCCAGTGGCATTGTCTGCCAGCCCGGCCCGGCTGTGTTCTAGCGAGCAGTGTTGCCCCTGGCGCCTGATCATCAGCCCCGATGCTGCGTCTGAGCGCTGCTCACGTCAGTCCCAGCTCACAGCTCGCATGCAGATAGAGTCAGCTTCGACGTGTACTGTTTGCCAGGCACGTGCCTGGATCCCAAGGGTACATCCGGATCCCGTGGAGGCCCTGGTTGTCACCATCAAGATTTGGGATTTGGGATCGGCTTCTAGGATCGGGGCAGGTGGCTTCAGCTGACACCGTGCCGCCCGACGCCGCCGCGGTGCCGGAGACTGGCACCGCGCTGCCGGCCACGGGCCCTCACCAGACGTTGCGTCCTGTTCGCCGGCAGCTCGTGATGTTCGCGCTGCGGATCGGCGCGCTCACGGTCATCCTGTCCGACATGCTGGTGAAGGGTTTCACCACCGGCGCCGCCGTGCACGTGCTCATGTCGCAGGTCAAGTCGCTCTTTGGCCTGACACTGCCCCGCTACTCCGGCCCCGGAAAACTCGTCAAGGTTGGTGAGATCGGGCGCGTCGCCCTCTGGTGCCCGCCCTTCGGCCGCCCCCGGCTGCCGCCTGGAAGTGTAGCCGCCGAGTCCGCTCTTTGTTCGGTTGCGGGAGGACAAGGACGCCGTGACGGCGACGTCCGTGCTGTCGGCGACTCATGTCCGCCGGCACCGCCAGCGGATCCCGTGTAATTGATCCCGTGTAATTGTCACGGAAGTAGCGGCCTGCTCCGGCCATATATAGAGTCGTAATTGCCTAGCGTTAACCGAACTGATGAATAGCTTACGCCAAAAAACCTGTTTTGACTAGGTATTACGGATCGTTTGGTTCAGGACTGACGGCATTCGTCTTTTTATCAAAAATAATCTTAACGCTAAAATAGGACTCGGTGCCTGTACATGATCACGAGACTGAGTTTGCTCGATAGTTTATGATCTTTTTCTTTTCCTGGTGGAAGAACATAATTGTTACGATGAGCATGTACGAAGCTTGTTATTCTGTGACACTACAATTGTATTAGCATTGTGCTCCCTGCTGCAGTCGTTCGTGGCGATTCTGAAAAACGCGTTCAGTGCCAACCCGGCCGCCATGGTCATCTCAGGCGTCTCCATCTCGGTGCTCGTGTTTAACAACGAGTACCTGAAGGTGAGCCGAGGGAGAGACTCGGAGACCGAGAAAGGACAGACGCACGAGCCAAACGGAAGCGCGCGCGCGCACACACACACACGCACACACACCACACACACACACACACACACACACACACACACACACACACACACACACACACACACACACACACACACACACACACACACACACACACACACACGCACACCCACGCGCACGCGCGCGCGCGCACCTATACTTGCCAGCCGTCAGAACCGCAGACGTCTCCGCATACGTCGGCCAAGCGAGGGCCACCAGATGACAGCGAGTTGGCCGCTTTCTTGTGAACATACTATCTCCAGAGAAACTCAAATATCATTCCATGGTTAAGTGTTTCCTGAAAGGTTCCAGCAATAGGTTTGGCGACGTGAATGAATACCGAGGACCTATGCGATATCAGAGGACCTAGTGTGCACAGCGCTTATAAAATGTGAAATCCGAGAACCGCCTTAGTGCATTGGTGTAGGTAGGCCTCAGAAATTGCGGGGGAAGTGGCTCGAGGAACTCATTTTGAGGTTGGGTCTTTCCATTCTCTTTTACTGGTTTCTGTAGTTCAGGCCAACAATCCTCCGCACTTTTGAATCAAGCCCAACAGCTTTAGAGTAGCGTTTTTAGGGTGATGCTCGCTGCGTCTACGGAAGGTTCATTTAGGGCCACACAGATAATGTGTGGAAGCCGTGAATAAATTTGGCTGCCTTTGGTACGTCTAAGTGTACAGATTCACATAATACCCACGGCGTCGATATGTCCTGGAAGGCGACTCCAGGGCAGTACGAGTCATGTTTAGCTTCGGACGGTCTCACTAGATTCATGCGTGTGGAAAGCATCGAAGGAATGTCGACACCAATTTACTATCTTGGCATTAAGGATCTGCGATGCTCATTTTGGCTTATGGCAACAGTCGCATATAGCTTTGACGTACAACAGATGATACAAGTGTCGTGTTTGCCCGGGCGCATGTCTCAACCTCGCGGAACGTGGCGGTCATAAACCGTATTGCAGCATACCTTTATGTGCATTTTTGCCGCGAAGTGGCCTCCAAAAACTTGTTTTCAAAATGTGTAAAATGACAGGGTTTGCAACATTATGTGGTCTTTTATGAATGTGAATAGTCATTTCCAGAGATCCTTTTTATATTTCAACTAACGTGATATTAACTTAACTGAAACATTACCTGTCAGAGCCTGCTGTAAAATTTAATCGCTGAAACTCGCTACAGGACTGTTTGTCACGTGTGTGTTTGTCACTGAAAAATGCAGGTTTACGAGAGGTGGTCATGGGGCGTTGCTCATAGTTAGTGTTTCTATGAGTAATTAGGAGCGACGCTCACTTTTGTTTCGTAATCATTTGTCTTTTATGTGGCGTATGAGGGTAGCAGGTGCCCTATCTAAATCCAGCCTCATTAACGTTGCCCTCAACCACCCCGTGCCAAGGGCATGGAATTGCGGGGAAGGGGAGGAGAGAGCGGCAGGGGCAGCTCACCCCCGCCCCCCCCCCCCCCCCCAACCTCCACCTGAAAGCCAGGGGCGACGACGCCCATCTTGGAGGTCTTGTGGAAAGCCCACTCCGAAATGTTGAAGGCCCATTCTGAACTCTAAAGGGATGCTGCAAGCCTGTAAAAGCCCATTGTGTCCTGTCGAAACGAAAGACATTTCTAGGAACTCGTGTAATCTGATGCGACGCTGCAGATAGACGAGGCCATGGATCTCTGAGATAGTTTCTCAGGCAATCGACCAAATGAATTTTGAAATTTAGAGTTAATTCCAGGCCTGACCGAGGCCAAAACTAACCTGCTTTTTTACTAAGCAACCTGGTTTTAGGGGTAATTTCTGGTGCTCATTCCGAATTCATTTATGACAGGGACCGTCAGATACATGTTCTATGAACTTTTTGCATTTCAGGGTTTGAGCTGCCCCTGCCTAGGTCATGACCATGAGATCATGACCTACACCTTGACATAGACCATGAACTTGGCGTCATGATCTTCGAAATGAGGCCAAATAATGTTGACCCATGCCAACATTACGTTTTTAGGAACATACCGTCTAGCGTGATCCTTCACTCTTATTTGAATGACAAAATAGGATCAATGTCGAAGGGTTTTGGTTACCTCAACCTTTAGAAAGTCAAGCAGGAACACATACCTAAATTTAACACCATTGCTATTTTTATTACAGCAGGTATCTGGGTTTGCGGTGGTTGCATGAGGAGGTCTGGGGGGGGGGACTGTGGACAAAAATCTGGAGTTTGGCATTGTTTGGCCTCATTTCGAAGGTCATGACCCCAAGGTCGTGGTCTAAGTCAAGGTGTAGGTCATGATCTCATGGTCATGACCTAGGAATCTCTAATTTTGACTGAAGTGAGTTCGCATACAGGCCAGCCCAGTGATAATGCCTATCGGCGCAGGGGGCGGAGGCGGGGGGGGGGGGGGGGGGGGCGCCCTCAGCGTGCTGATGCCCCGCTTCCCATCCCCGCAGCCCAAGGTCGCCAAGAAGACCAAGTTCCCAATACCGATCGAGCTGATCGTGGTGGTGATCGGCACGGTGGCCTCCTACTTTGGAGACCTGGAGGGCAACTACAAGGTGCAGGTCATCGGCAACGTCACCACCGGGTGAGTGCCGGCGGTGACCGAGCGGCAGGCTGCTGGCGGCAGCCCCAGACGCGTTCTCTACACCGGCACCGCACAGTCCCGAAGAATCCAAACAAAAAGCCAAGTCAGCTGGTCCCTTTAGCAGTGCGGTGCAAACACGGCTATATGCCGCACACTCCCAGAGCTGTTCGTCGGCGGCCGATGGAGCGTCCGTTTAGAGGTCCTCGAAAGCATTCCACATTCCGCGTGGGCGTCTCGTTTTATGCTAGTTGGAACCTCTGATGCGTACGAATCGCTTAAGTATCTCCGCGTGTCATTACTTTTCAGCTTGTCTGAGGCTTTGAGTTGTGTTATTAAACTAGCCGCCCCATTGCGTACCCTGGAAGTCAAACAAACAGATTGCTAACTTGTCAAACACAAAACAAATGCAAACCAGTGAAAGAATAGAATATGAACAGAACAGCATGGTAGCAAAAACAGAAAACAATGCATCGGAAGAGAGAATTGTCAAGAAATCTGGGCGGAAAGAGGTGACTGAGTGACACGGGTCCTTGTCTGTCGGCCGCAGCCTGCCTCGCCCCACCAACCCCGTGTTCTCACTGCTGCCGCACATCCTGATGGACGCCGTCATCATCGCCATCATCGCGTACTCGGTTGCGCTCTCCATGGCGCAGCTGTTCGCCAAGAAGCACGAATACGTGGTCGACCCGAACCAGGAGCTAATCGCTTACGTAAGTCGGCCGGCCGGCTCTTGTTGGCGGCGCCGTTGTCGGTCGCTGTTGTGTTGTCGGTTGTCTCTCGCTGGTGACGCTCCTGCCGGCGTTGGCTGTGGCGCACGCTGACGCATCGGCAGTGTGACGGCAGCATGACAAGGGGGTTGGGTTGGGGGGGGGGGGAGGGGGCTGTGCGCGGCGCCGGACTGGCGGCGTGCAGGCCTGCTGACGGAGCCGACACGCGAGGCGCACCAAGCCGGCCCCTGGCCGCGGCCGATGAGTCGAGACGAGCGGGCCAAACTGGACACACGGATGGAGTGATCTGACGGCAAAAATCGGGCATTGTCCGCATTTGGCATGAGCTGGCGATTGGCCGATTTCCTGCATTCCTGCCGATGGGTAGGCCAGCCTCATTAGGTGACGTGTCCATGTAACGACGCCACATTGAAGTCTACATGCAAAACCGGAGACGTGCCTGACAGCTACCTATACTTGGGGGCTGGAAAAAACCGCGTCCTTTTTCATGCTGTCGTGAAGGCGCAGCCAAGGACGTTGACTATTTGACGCGAGCAGACCGGTTTCCTCCGTACCAGGCGCAAGCGGCCACCATGACCAGACTCACTGCTGAGTTCATGGTGTTTCGCGCGAGCAATACCATCGGTATTGTGTTTGCGTCGTCGCACTGAGAGACCATCATTGACCTCTCTCTCCCGCCCCCCCCCCCCTTCTCCTTACTTCCCATTTTACCAGTGCTTCCAAATAGGGTTGCCACTGAGATCCGCCGTTGCCATAATGCGTGAGCGCAGGGACATGCCATGCCGGGCTGGGATCTTCCAGCCCATCCCTCAGCGCCACTGTCGCTGACAATGTCGCCAGCAAGGACAGCAGAGCCCCAGCGAACCAGTCATGAAAGCGTTTTGTACGCCTCCAGCGAAATTCCTCACTTTTTGTATGCTCCCTGTCCATAATTGCTATGGAACTCTGCGATGTTTGCAGCTGTCGTCACGAAATTTGGGACACTTTTTTGGAGTCTAACTGGTTTGGCATGTCGTTTAATCGGCGCATGATGAGTTACCGAAGGCCGGTCACTGTCGAAGCAAGAGCCCCCTCTTGCTGATGTTCAGCACGAGGAGCTCAAGACCCGTCGCACTTACATCGGGTATGATATAGCAAGCACCGCATCAGAAACAGCACCCGTACTTTTATCTAAGCACATCCTTGAGCAACAGGGACCGACTTCAACGCGATGAATGTCTACGCCAATTGTTCACACGGTCGACCCCGAGACGTGCTCAGATGGGTGCGAATGCGGCCGACTGGAGCGTTGCCGCGTCACGCTCCGGCACGCAGCCCACCCGCTGAGCGGCGCCGCCTCGTCCACAGGGCGTCGGCAACATCGCCTCCTCCTTCTTCGCTTGCGCGCCGATGGCAGCCTCGCTGTCCCGTTCGCTCATCATGGAGAACGTGGGCGGTAAGACGCAGGCGTCCGGCATCATTACCTCCGCCATCCTGCTGGTGGTACTGCTATGGCTGGGACCCGTCTTCGAGGTGCTGCCCAAGGTGGGATGTGTGTGTGTGTGTGTGTGTGTGTGTGTGTGTGTGTGTGTGTGTGTGCGTGCGTGCGTGCGTGCGTGCGTGCGTGCGTGCGTGCGTGCGTGCGTGCGTGTGTGTGTGTGTGTGTGTGTGTGTGCGTGTGTGTGTGTGTGTGTGTGTGTGTGTGTGTGTGTGTGTGTGTGTGTGTGTGTGTGTGTGTGTGTGTGTGTGTGTGTGTGTGTGTGTGTGTGTGTGTGTGTGTGTGTGTGCGTGTATGTGTTGCACGACAGTGCGGTCGCTGTGGGTGACACAACCGCTCCGGCTGCAGACTGCGCTGCTTTTCTGGCACTGCCACATAGGAGCCCGGCGACTGAACAGAACCCGCCGAGGCCGGCGCCTGGCCGCCATCTGAGCGGCATAGGCGGACGACTGGCGTGTCAGGCCACTGGCGCGCCAGTGTGGCAGCGGGGCAGAACACATGGCCGCCGACCCCTCCTCTCGGCGGCCGCCGGGGAGCGGCGGGGTGCGTTTTCGGCTTCGGTTGGGCGAGCTGGCGGCCAGCTCCGCCGCGCCGGTCTGGCCGGCTGAGCGACGCACGAGTTTGGCTGGCATGTGGCAAGGGGATGACCTCGCCTTCATCGGTCAGTCTGCGTCGCCCACGGTCAGTCCCACTTCTCCGACCCGACCTCGACGGCAGACGCTGACGCCGTCTCTCTCTCTCTCCGGCAGTGCGTGCTCAGCTCCATCATCGTCGTCTCGCTGAAGGGCATGTTCATGCAATTCCAAGATCTGAAGCAGGTGTGGCGCACGTCACGCGCCGACGCGCTCATCTGGTTCACCACCTTCATCGCCGTCGTCGCCATCGACATCGACATCGGCCTGGCCGTCGGCGTCGGTGTCTCGGTGGTGGTACTGCTGCTGCGAAACCAGAAGCCGGAGACGGCGCTGCTTGGCAGCGTGGGCGGCACCGACATCTACCTGGACATTTCCAAGTACAAGTCGGTAGGTGCAAGAAACAGCGGTGGCGGCGGTCGCTGTCGTGTGGCTGTGCAGAGCCTGCTCTGTCTCGGGGATTACCATTTCGCGACGTTTGTTGTATTTGAACTGCTGCATCCTCTGGCACCGCTCGGCTTTTTGCCACGCGCAGAATGTCGTGACGGTACTGTGCCGGATGTGGCTGATGTGGCTGATGTGGCTGCCGGCCGGTCGGTGGCGGCTGCGATCTGTCCGCCCGATCGTTTTGCCCATGACAGCCATGAACGCCATTTTAGGCGGAGGAGGAGGGCGACATCAAGATATTCCAGTTCGGCGGCCCGCTGCACTTCTGCAACCGCGACTTCTTCCGCAACCAAGTGATTCAGCTGACGGGGCTGGACCCTATCCAGTACAAGTCGTTCATCCACCGCCTGGAGGCTCAAGCGCACGCCAAGGCCATGAAGGAGAAGCTCAAGGCGAAGAAAGATCGCCGCAATCCTCAGGTGAGCTGATCAGTCAGAGCCGTCCGCGCCGTTGTCGCTGGCGCGGACTGTCCGTCCGCACGCCAAACTTGTCACGTCCGCATGAGCCTGTGCCAGACCATGGACGCCGCAAGCCAGTACTGCCAGGCGATATAGATCCAAGGATTGTTTATTAACCTCTATGTTCGGCATCACCAGCTGCCGATAACGACCAATGCCGTGCTACTATTGGAAAGGCCATCACGATACAGCGGCATTTTAACCCTGCACCCGGCCAGATGCGACGAAGGTCACATTTGAAAGTTTGCTTGGAAACGCGGCGAGGGCGGCGTGCGTCTCCCTGTGGGCCACGCCGCTTGGAATCGCCGGTGCACGCCTGTGGTGTGCTAGCCGCCTGCATAGCCGCCTGTGGTGTGACCAGCCGCCTACATCGACCCCTTCTCCTTTTCCCACTACCAGAAGGCAGACTCCAAGACCGGCGGGCGCTTCTTCGCCGAGACCAAGCTGGACCCCAGCGTGGAGAAGCCCGAGTCGGCCAAGAAGCGTGCGCAGATGGCCGGCATCGCGAACGCCGCGTTCGAGTCGAACGAGGAGCGCAGCGGCTCGCGTGAGGTGAGCGTCTGCGCTCGCCGGCCGCGCACTCCGCACCGCTTCTCACCGCCGGCCGGCGAGCCTCTCGGCGTCGCTGCGGGCGGCCGGCCGGCGCCGTGTGTGCCGCTCACCTCACCTGACCTGCTTCTGTGGCCTCACTAACCCACTCCGGTGGTGGCTGTAGTGGTGGTGGTGTGGTGGCGTGGAGGCGGCGCTGCGCCGCACTAATCGCTCTCTGTGTTGTGTAGCTGCTCACGCCGCCGGCCAGTGCCGACTACTACGGTAGCCTCGACTCCGACCGCGGACCGCCCTGGAAGAGACTGTGCGTAAGTGGCCAGCTGGAGCCGCCGGCAGCTGAGCTGACCGGTCCGGGCGGCAGTCCAGCCCGCGGCGAGGAGTTCGTTAAGTGCAGGGGCTTGCTGACGCAAGTGTCCCGATTCTCCACCGGTCGAACGAATGGTTTGCCGTTATCTGCCACGTGCGCCACAGGCTGCGCTGTGGCGCGTTGTCGCCGCCTTCTGCCGGAGCCGAACACCTGTGCTCAGTGGCGTAGCCGGGATTTCGCCAAGGAGGCGGCCAAATCAGGTCATGAGCGGATGTCGGTCAACGGGCCCCTCCTCTTTGCTTTAAAGGCCCTGCTTCGTATTCGGAGGACCTTTTAGGCTCGAAATCCCATGCTAACGCGTTAAAATCCCATTTTTATGTTTTACACTCTCCGAGCATATACTTGTCTAAAGATCCTGGGGCCTCTGCATCCAAGGACACCACCACGTCCAGCTGGAGGAGGGG